TCACGGTATTGGCCGCAGCGCCTGACGAATCCGCGAGGTCAGGCGTGGTGGGCCGTTGAAGTGGGGTGGTCTCGGTGGAAAGATGAAAGTAACATGCCATTGTCCTGAGGACACGTGATGGTGATGATGATGATTAGGTGCCCATGAATGCTTTCAGAATGCATGTTCAGCCAGTTACGAAACCGTTATTTGTGTTGGTTGAAATGCTGTTGGTGCTGTTAACAAAGACAGCCGAATTGCGCCACAGTATGTATGTTAACAGCAAGATCTCGTGAACCCGTGGACGTGGATGATTACTGGGTCAAAATTAGGTAGTTTTGCACGGTGTGGTTGGGTGGCTTTGCTGGGATAGCTGACCTTTGACGAGGAATCTGTCCATTCAGAAATTCGACGTGGCCTTCAACTGATCGCTAAATGGTGGGAATATGTGGTCGATTGTCGTCAGATGTAGCGTAGTGCGCTGTTACATATCCCGTGCGTGTCACGTAATCAGCATTGGTGGCATGGACGAATGTTGTTTTGGACTGCCAGCCAATTTCAGTAAGGAGGGACTGTGTGAAAGCGATGTTGCTTGTTGTGTAAAAGGCGAGTTTTCGCATGGAACCTGTCCTAACTTAATTGTGTCACGGATGTCGTGGTAGTGGTTGAACCACGTCCGAATTGTGTGAGCGACTGCAAGTGTCATTTCTTACTAAGCCTTAGCATTGCCCTGTTTGGCTCCACTCGTAGAAGCAAGCCTGCGTCCACGAAAGATCTAGCCGCCATGGACACAATGTTATTGTCTTAATGGTTTCGCGAACCCTCAATTCAAGAATGCCTCTTTGTCCATTTTTAGCAAGTCACAATCTAGTTGTCGACGCGGGCCTTCCAACGAAGCACGGGGGGTACAATTGGCTTCGTGTTTGTCAAGCGAAGGAAGATGGTGAAAGTTGAAGAGTGAGAGGTGGTGGGGTTGGTGGCTGACGGCGGTCAACGAAGTGCGAGCACACTCCACAACTCACTTCTCGTGAATGCGCCAGTGTGATACATTTGACACGTGTTGAAGGTGCCTGTGGGAGGAACTCAGCTTCTGAATTTGGATAGTTGGCGCCTTGTCGAACCACTTGCAGATTGGAGACGTGAATGCTCACCAACGCCATGTCAAACTGCATCCAAAACGCACAATTTGGACCCTGCAAGTTAAAAGCACACAGCTTATCTAATGGAGGATCGTCACGAACTAGGTGCCTGATTGTAGAATTTGATTTGAAGAAAACTCGGAGTGATGCAAAGTTGTTGCACTACTGGAATTCACCAATGTGATTTAACGAGTTGGAGTACATTGAGGTACCCATGTGCACTTTCATCACGTACCTTTCCACGCGTAGCAGCGCGGACGCCTAGCGGTTGTGTGGACCGACTTTCTTATCGTAGTCTTCCATCCTCACCGCTCGCACATCACCAGTTTTCTCGAGTAGTGATGGCGAATTTCGGTGCTGTAGGACCTGCTGAAGAAAGGCTGCAGCGGAGTCGGCGTATCCGAAGAACCGACCCACCCCGTTGGGA